TGAACCTCCATACTTCATAGTGTTTCTCCTCATCCAAATTTTCCATGTAGTGACTGTTGGAGCTGCCTCAAATAATTGCTTAAGCTTGGGGCAGCATGGTGCATTCCACCATGCCCTTATTACTTGATGAACCTGCACAAAATTTATTACCAATCCTGTTGCCTAAAGGAAAGTCTTCCACACCTTAGTTGCAGTGCTACTTGTTAAGAACAATTGTTGAAATGAGTCTTCTTTTGGTTGCAAACAACACTAGCACTTTGACACCACCATGTAACCACTTCTCCTCCACAAATCAGTAGTAGGGATCTTACCTTTCCTTAATCTCCATAAGAAGAAGGAGATCTTGAAAGGTAAACCTTTAGTCCACAACTTGTTGGACTCATGATTAGGTGGTTCCTTATGCCTTAAAATTCTCCAAGCACTATTAACTCAGAATTTACCATAAGGAATAGGCATCCATCTTGGAGTATTGTCAAAATGTACTTCCAGTCTAATATGATCAGCAATATCCCTTGGGAATGACTATTCCAGGAGTTGCTCATTCCATCCATCATCATCTCTCAATTCATCTACTTCTTGCAGTTCTTCATTTATTGGAAATTCTGGAGGAAAAATATGATATAAAGCTCCTAATCAAGTTCAATTGTCATGACCAATATTAGTTACTCCCCTATTCATTTCCCATTGTATTTCATGTTCAACCTCTTCCGTAGCCTCCGGCATTTTCCTCCATACATGAGACCCCTTTCTAAATTGAACTAATGTTGGCATCTCCATCTTACAATATTTATTCCATATGAAATTAGATCATAAGGACTTTGAAGTCCTAAACTTCCACCATATCTTGGCAAATAATTGTTTGGAGACATCAATCAGTGGTGTAAAACCTACTCCTCCTTCCTCCTTAGGTAGGCACAGATTTTGCCATTTTGTCCAATGTCTGCTTCTGCCTTCTTCCTTGTTACACCAGAAAAACCTAGCAAAAGTTTTATGTAGATGTTCAAGTACATTATTAGGTGGATCAACTACATAAAGGATGTGTGTAGGCATACTTTGTAAGACACTAGATATCAAAGTAGCTTTTTCCCTATAGGACAGTAACTTCCCCTTCCAAGAATGTAACTTTGCCTTCACTTTCTTTATCAAATCATTGTAGTAATCCTTCCTTCTTCTTGTGTAGAATATTGAACACCCAAGATAGGTGAATGGAAACTCACCCCTTGTGAATCCAGTAATAGCCCCTACAAAATTAAACAATGTTCCATCCATATTAGAATGCATATAAAAAGAACTCTTTGCCTTGTTGATAATTTGTTTAGAAGTGTGCTCATACTTGGACAAAACTTCTATAATCTTTTCTAAAGAGTAAGAGTCAGTGGACGCAAAGATTATAGTGTCATCAGCATAAGCTAAATGATTCAATGGATCAGTCCACTTGGGCATTCCAAAATATTTAAACCTCTTGTCTACAAAAAGCTTATTCAAAGACCTGGACAATACTTTTGCTGAAAGTGTGAATAATGCTGGAGACAGAGGATCCCCTTGTTTGACACCTCTTGTTGAGTGAAAAAATCCTGAAGCTTGACCAATAATCAGAACTGAGTACCAGTTGTTGGCAAGTAGATTCCACACCATGTTTATGAAGCATTCTACAAACCCCATTTTCCTCAACATATGCCTTTGCCATGTCAACTTCGATGATACACTATCATATGCCTTTTCCATGTCATGTTTGATGACTACATTGATAGGTTTTCCCATTAATCTTATGTCAATAACAATTTCATGAGTTAACAAAATGTTTTCAAATATACTTCTCCCCTTGACAAAGCCTGATTTATTGGAAGATATCAACGTAGGTAGTATCTTCTCTAGCCGATCATGATCCACTCTCGAGATCACTTTGTTTATGAAATTGCTCAAAATTATAGGTCTAAAATTAGAGAAAATTTAGACCATTGGCTTTTTAGGCAGCAATACAAGGTTTGAGAGAGTTATAGACTTAGGCATAGAGCTTCCTCCATAGAACAGTTTCAGCATATTATGTATGTCCTCCCATACTATATCCCAGCATACTTGAAAGAAAATACCAGAAAAGCCATTTGGACCACTTGTACTCTCCCCACTCAAAGCAAACACTGTTGCCTTCACCTTCTCTCTTGTAGGACTTCTACAAAGATTTAAATTCTCCTCACTAGCTACCATTGTAGGTATATTGTTTAGGAGTTCATAGCTTGTTGGATCATCTTCTTGTGTGAACTGCTTCTGGAAAAATTCAACTGCAACATCAGCCATCAAATCTTGTGAATCAATCCGTGCACCATCATTTTTCTGAAATCTCTTAAATTGGAGTTTCTTCCTTTTACCATTCACATGGTTGTGAAAAAATCTAGTATTTCTTTCCCCTTCTGCAAACCATGTCATTCCTACTTTTTGTTTCCAATGCTGCTCCTCGATGCTCAAGTACTTCTTCAATTTAGCTTGAGCTTGTTGTACTATTATTCTATTCTCCACTGTTGGCTCTTCTTCAAACAACATTTTCTTCACTCTAACCACATCTTCTCTAATAGATAGTTGCTTGAAAATATCCCCATATGTGAGCTTGCTCCATTTAGAGAGAGCAATCTTAACCCTCTTCAGTTTCTGCTTGAACATCAAGAAAGGATCTCTAGTGAAGTCAGCTATCCAATTTTGTCTAATCACCTCCATAAAAGATTCATGTTTGGTCCAGAAGTTCAAGAACTTGAATGGTTTAACAAATTTTAAGGCTTGATCACTACAGCTCATCAAAAGTGGAGCATGATCTGATCATGTTATAATGAGATGATCCATTTCTATATTGGAAAATAGGGTCTAGAAAGGCAAATTCCCCAAAATTCTATCCAAACAATTGAATATACATTCTGCATTAGGCCTCCAATTCCACCGGGTAAAGGTGTTGTCTTTGTATCCAAGATCAAAGAGTTCACATGAGTTAACAGAAAATGCAAAATCTTCATATTCTGAGGGGTACACTGGAAATCCTCCTATCTTTTCATCTTTACTAAGAATCACATTAAAATCTCCTCCAACCACCCAAGGTAACTCCATATCACTAGCAAGGTAGTATAGATTATCCCACAATTCTAATCTTTTCAATGATGATTACTTTACATATACAAAGGTTATCATAATGTACTTGCCATTATCTTGATGGTTAACTGCTACTCAGTATCAATCAATAGATCCTATTCCACCACAGCATCCAAGAATAACCATATCATCCCATTAACATTTGATATTGTAGCTTCCATATCTAGCCTCCTTATGTAGTTTTGAATAAACCTCTACTTTTGAAATGGCTCCATAAGTTCTATAATGAAAAAACCATGATCCCTTTGCATGTTGATAACTCTCTGAAAGGCCTGTTGTGTCTTAACAGACCTTATGTTCAATATTAATGTTTTAATCATCATCTTGTTATTGAGGTTGTCCTCTTGGGCAATATTTTTGTAGGTGGCAGTGGCTCCTTAGCTTGTGTTTGCTTCTTTCCTTTCTTTCCACTTCTAGCTGAAATCAGAGGTGATAAATCCCCCTCCCTTGCTACAACTTTAAAATTTCCAATAGTCGACTCATCATCACCTTCATCTTCTAACTATTCTTGATCCATTAATGCATTTTGAATATCCCCAGACAATACATTGTGTGCAATGATATTGTGGAACACCTGATTTGGAGATTTGAATGGTACATTGATCTGAATTTGCATTGGAGAACTTGTACCTGAAGCACATGCTATGGCCATAGTTTCAATTACATCTAATTCCCCGAGTACTATAGTGTATAGGTAGTTTAACATTCATTCCAGCTGAGGAGAGGCCATTCGCTATGGATGTTCAGGCTTTGGCTAATAGATTCGTGAGGCTGAATATTTTCAAGCAAAGTATAGTTCTTGCATGTGTTGTGGGGAAGTCCTCTTTGTTGGACTGTATCAAGGATCGTCAGGTTGATGATCCTCATTTGTTGGTGTTAAAGCACACGGTGTAATAAGGTGGCACAAAGAAGGTTGTGATTGGAGATTATGGTTTTATGCGGCTTCATGGTCGAATATATGTTCTAAATGTTGTTGGTTTGTGGGAGTTGATTCTCAGGGAGGCCTATAGTTCACGGTATTCCATTCATCCAGGTGTCATGAAGATGTATTATGGCTTGAAGCAACATTATTGATGGCGAAAGATGAAGAAATACATTGTTGGGCATGTTTCATTGTGTTTGAATTGCCAGGAGATGAATTATGAACATTAGAACTAGGTGGTTTGACTTAGAAGTCAGTTATACCGGAGTGGAAGTGGGAGCGCATTAATCTGGACCATGTGGTAGGATTACCATGGACTTTAAAAACGTTTGATGATATATTGGTCATTGTGGATAGATTGATCAAGTCACTACATTTCAGTTAGGTGATGACTTCGTACAACTTAAAAAGGTGGCTCAGATCTACATCAGAAAGATCGTTGTTTGCATGGTGTGCCCATTTCTATGATTTTGGACCGTGGTATCCAGTTTGCACTCCACTTATAGAGAGCTATTCATCAAGAGTTGGGTATGCAGGTGGAGCTCAACATTTTATCCACCCCACGGATGGTCAGTCCGAGCGGACTATCCAGATCCTTGAGGATATATTGAGGGCATATGTTATTGAATTTGGAGGCTAATGGGATGAGTTACTACCATCGACAGAGTTTGCCTACAACAACAACTACCAGTCCAGTATTCAGATGGCGTCGTATGAGGATTTATATGATAGGTGGTGCGGTTATCCTATTGGTTGGTTTGAGTAGAGTAAGGCTCGGTTGTTGTGTACAGATTTGGTTCGTGATGCCATAGATAAGGTGAAGTTTATTTATGAGCATCTTCGGACAAGATAGAGTATGCAAAATAGACACAGATAAGAAGGCTCGTGATATGGCTTTTATGGAGGGCGAGAAGGTGCTTTGAAAGTTCTTCCTATAAAGGGTGTGATGAGATTTGGGAAGAAGAGCAAATTGAGGATGAGGTTCATTGTCCTATTTGAAGTGTTAGAGAAAGTTGGGGAGGTTTCTTATAGTATTGGATTGCCTCCCAGCCTTGCGGGGGTACATTCAGTATTTCACACTTCATTGCTTCGGAAGTATCATGAAGAAAAGTCGCATGTTCTGGATTTTAGCATAATGCAACTTGATGAGAATTTGACATATGAAGAAGAGCCGGTGGATATTGTAGATAGGCAGGTTCAAAAAATGAGATCCAAGGATATTTCTTCTATGAAAGTGCTTTGGAAATGGCAGTCGGCTGAGGAGGCTACGTAGGAGTTCGAGTTCGATATGAGGAGTGGATATCAACATCTCTTTGTCAGTTCAAGTACATTTATATGTTTATTTGAGGACGAGCGTTTCTTGGGGGTGGAGAATGTAACGACCCGATAGGTCATTTTCAGTTCTATCTTTCTATTTTATGATACTTCATTTGATATTTTATGATGTGTGCGTGTGGTTCCTTTCGAATTCCAGAAAGTTTAGATGTGTTTTGGAAGAGAAACTCCATTTCTTGAGCTTTAGTGTTGTTGGATGTCACAACCCAAAATCTCACCAAGTCGAGATAGCACCTAACCCTACCAGCTAGGTAAGCTGTCTAACACATGCTACTACTCAAACCAAACATCATCAATAAAATAAATAAGAATGCAAAAATTAACTCAACTATTACTGAGAACTGGTGGTACAAGTGACTACGATTTGAATTTCAACGTTGAAAAGAAGAAATACATAATCTGTGTGGAAGTTACAATAACATAATTACAAGTCCTGTACTACCATGAGCAAGATGATAGTAGATAACTGGAATTCTATAGTCTTCAACGCTCGACCTCGAACTACGCAGCTGCTTAGCTCCAAATATATGCAAGCAAGGCGCAGAAGTGTAGTATAAGTACAACTGATCTCATGTACTCAATTAGTATATTGCTAACCTCAGTGAAGTAATGGCAAGGTTTTTAAGTAAAAAAATACTCACTAAATATAATAAGTGCAGTTCATAAGAAAGAGAAAAAACAAGGGAAAAAGATAAGTAATAATGGAAGGATCAAATAAAAGAACTAACGAGCATGTTTCACAAACATAGTAACCAATCCTTCATCAATAAATCATGTACGTGAGGAAGGAACAATATATGTGAAACAATATAAGCCATATCTTGAAATCCGCAAAAATGAAAAGGGGAATATTCAAGATATCAAATAAAATCGGCAACACCTTCGTACATTTATCTTCTCCTCACCAAGGATATGTATGTATGTCAAATCAAATGGCACAATGACGTCCTTCGTGCATTTATCTCATCCTTACCAAGTATATGTATGTATGTCAAATAAAATGGCATTAAAACACTCTTCGTGAATTTATCTTATCCTCACCAAGCAAGGAAATACCCTTCAAGCAATATCACTATTCCACACCAAACATATGTATAATAGTGCCAAACTAGGTAGAAAACAAGTAGCTAACAATAACAACGAGGTCTAAGTCTTTTATATAACAGTAACAAATAAGGTAGAAGCATATAGATATCGGTAACAAACTGTCACGCCCCAAAACCGAGGAGCGCGACCGGTGCTCAACCGAGTGAACCCGGCCGAGCAAGCCTATTATATTTTCTTCTACCCAAACTCATTCATGAATAAAGATAATATACATGTTTTTGTTAATCAACCAATAAAGTGATCATGTTGCAATACCAATTTCTTACCATTAGTTACTTTATCTTAAAGTCTCAATTCCAAACACATTTTTCATAATCTGAAGTGAAAATAGTAATTCAAGCACAACACACGAGTTTGACTTTGCCAACACCATTATACAACCCATACTATGTCTATGGAGCCTCTATAGATAAAGATGAGTGCAATGATAATGCCGGCAACAAGGCCCCGGCAATACCTCAAACAGAATACACAAAGAACAAAAGTTACATGACCCCGGGATAAAATAGGGCTCACCAAGTTAGCTGGGAAGAAGGTATGCTACTATCACTAATCAATATCTCCTGCTGTGGAACCACATGCATCCATTTAAACGATGCAGAGCTCCCGGCAAAAGGGACGTTAGTACCGTCGAATAGTACTAGTATGAAAACTAAACACTAATTTAAGAATTCAGAAATTCAAGATGAATATGATGAACCAGTGCAGCAATAGAATAATATAGATAACCGTTTAAACCATAACAAGCTTATTAAAAGCTATAAATAACATTTATAGGATTTAAGATGAGATCCTCTGTAACTATCTTCACACAAAGCGGCCCCACCACCTCACCCAATGTATGTAGGTGGACGTGTACGTACAATACCATAACTCTAATCAAGCGGCCCTGTCGCCTCCCCCCAATGTATGCGGATGGATGTATAGTGACAGTACCAAGAACCTACACAAAGCGGCTATGCAGCCTCATCCCAATGTATGCGGGTGAAAATGCATCAATAATACCAATACCAACACAAAGCGGCTATGCCGCCTCACCCCAATGTATGCGGGTGGTGTTGCCACACCAATGCCAAAACTACACACAAAGTGGTCGTACCGCCTCACCCCAATGTAAGTGGGTGGAGGTGCAGTCCCACAATACCATAATCCCTACACAAAGCGGTCATGCCGCCTCACCCCAATATATCAGCGGGTGGAGGTGTATCACAATCACAATCTCTATACTATAAGCCCCACACAAAGCGGTCATGCCTCCTCACCCCAATGTATGCGGGTAGAGATGTATCACAATTACAATCTCTACACCACTTGGCATAATAACTTTCACCTAAATCACGACTAGAAATTATAACATGTGGATACATAATCCATAGTTTGGGACACATCCTCAATTTATAATGCAATATGATAAGAGTATTTGAAACACTAATTGAACATGTATCTTCATCACAAAACCTATCGGAATACTCCATTTATAATCAACATCTCGGAACTTACAAGGATATTGGGAATTCCAATTCTTAAAGAAGAGTTTAGCCAATATACCTCACTTGAGCTTCCTTACACTTTAAATATTCCGGAATTCTTAGCAACTTCAATCTATTTTAGAAATATAACAAATTGAACCAAAATTAGGAAGATGATCATGGTTCTAGCTCATTTGAGCATTTTATCAAACACAAGGCGTGCATAAGGTTGCAAGGCCCTTTTATGGAGAATTCCATCATCCCACAACCCAATATTTATCATGCCTAGTTCAACAATCTTCCTAGACCCCTTGATATTACATGCATGTAAATAAACAACCCTCCTACCCATAAATTATCTTGCTAATTATCAATTGTACCCAAAATTTAAAAGTGAGGGTTAGGGTGTAGAATCTTACCTCTAGGATGAAGACCTCGTGAGTTTCCTTTCTTAATCTTCCAAAACTTGGGCAAGAATTGAAGAACAATTATTGAAGAACACCGTCTCACTCTAGGGCACTCTCTCTCAGTCCAAAATATCATATTATAGTTCAAAAATGATCCAAAGAGTGTATTTCACAAAATAGTGTCGGGTTTTAAAAACAAAAAATAAAGCTCCGGAACAGTTATGTGGTCGCATATGCTACCGCATATCGGTCGCATAATTGCTGACAAAAATGATCAAAAATCTGTGCGTGTATGCGGTCACTATGCAGTCCGCATAACCGTTATGCGATCTCATAAGGCACCGCATAATAGTTATGCGGTCGCATAGTCGACTGCATAGCTGCTTTCACAATGGCCCTCTCCTGCTCACTTCTGCGGCCATTATGCGAGTGATTATGCGGTCGTATAATGGACCGCATAAATGCTCTTTTCCGCCAAAAGTTTTCCTATACTTTCCAGTGCATTGTTCAACCCAAACACGCAAGTACTATAATCCGTAAACACGTAAGCCTAGTCCGGCACCATGAAATATTATTTTCTTTGAAAATTTTACCGAGCTTTACACTTGCGTACTTCAAAATTTTTCGGGGTGCTACACAAATAAGGCAAACCATATAGATAATAGTAACAAACAACAGAGAAGAATACAGATAATAGTAACAAATAAGGTGATGGCATAGACATAACAATAACACACAAGGTAGAAGGCATAGATGTGACAATAGCAAATAAGGTAGAAGGCATAGATGTAACAACAACAAACAAGATAGAAGTAATAGACATAACAATAACAAGCAAGATAGAAAGCATAGATGGAACAATAAAAACCTAGTTAGAGGTCATAAAAGTGTATGCGGGGGAAGGATAATACAATATAATGCATGTCTCTCATCCCCCACCCGCACAAAAACACATGTCGTACAATGAACTCTCATCCTCACCTGCATAGAAATACTCGTCGTTCCATTATCATATCAAATCGCACAAAAACTTCTATCATACAAATATTTCTCATCCCCACAATATGAAAATACCTTTCATGGAAATTCACTCAGCCTCACCAAGCATACATGAATAAATATCTAGTAAAGTAAGATGCAAAAATACAATCAAGAGGGATAAGTAAGTATAAAATGATTGGTGAGAAATAATCATAGTTATTTTTAAAGAAGGCAAGCCAACATCTCAAGAACCTCCTGGTCCAAATATCACAATGGTGTCTACACATGATCTTTAACATGAATAAGAAGCTCAAGTAGCACAAGGATAACATGTTAGATATGTGTTCGTGATGTAATGCATGACTACGATCAAATCGAGTATATCATGAGTCTAAAGATTAGTCTATCATGTTCATTTATTATGTCATACATTCAACGTGATTCTAGCATGGATAAGTGTACTCATATATATATTCATAGAAGTAAATGAAACATAAGTCAAGAAGATCACAAAATCCAACAAGGCAAAAAGAAAACACATAATCTACCTCGAGCATGGATCACAGGAACATGCATATACTCTCGTCACCTCACATATACATCTCCCCCTCTTATAGAAAATAATATCATATTAGGAAAAATTTCCTCAAACCAAAAGTAGGCAAGACACTTACCTTATCTTGGACTATCTATATTCTTCAAACTCCACCTTTTCTAGCACCAAATCCATCAAATGAGCCCAATCTAGTAAAAAAAAATGTTCAACAAAGTCAAATAAATCTATAGAAATTAATTCAAAATGATAAAGCTTCGATATTGAAGAAGTCTAAAAAAGTCAACAGAAGTCAGCATGGGCCCACATGGTCAAACCTGCAACCAAAACAAAATCTTGTTGTCCCATAACCCCACAAGTCTAAATATGCGATTAGTTTCCAAATACGATTTCAAATATGTGTTCAAATTCCCCAAAATAC